CACAGTGACGTCTGTCCTGGGCTTTAGTTCTCTCCAGACACTCACAGAAGGAATCACACACCAAAACGGCCCCAACAAATTAAGTCCTGGGAGAGCAAAGGAGAAACTTGGAAATTCCAGTTCCTTTTGTGTTATAAGTTTTCAAAATATGAGGAAATATGCCAAATGCCTTTGATAATATACTCTGAATTAATGACTAACAGGGAAATGCCCCCTGAGCAGTTCATGGACAGTGTCTTTCCCAAGTCAGATCCTGTTGGCAAATGACCAAAGAACCCTTCTCTCCTGAGCCAGCAGACACTTCTATGGCCAGGAAGCACTCTGATATCAACTCAGCATTATAAAAGTGAGCAATTAAAAGCACCATTTGCAGTTAATCTAATAATTCCACTGAATATCCCCAAACCTGTGTACAAAACATATTTTATTTGGGACCCTGACTTGATTTTAGGGTAAACTGTTTCTTAAATAGAAATATAAAGATAAGCCTTAAGCCTTATGCCTTTTTTTTTTAAGAGAAACAAAGATAAGATTTTAAAATGTTTGAGTTAATTTAGCAATATACTGGGTAAACAATAAGGTACTAAGGCTAAATTTAAGGCAAATGCAATGAAAGAACATGAATTCCCCTTAAGACTAAGTATCAAATAGTCTGGTTGATGAGACTGCTGTATTTTAGGTTTTGAGGGTTTCTAAAGTAAGTAATTCTCTAATTAACACCAAAATATATGATGCTTTTCTCCGATTCCAATACATACACCCAGTTTTCAGCTGAAGAAGATGAGAAAGTTAAAATTAAAAAGGCCCAATTATTTCTTTAATGAAAGCAAGTGAGAACATATTTAATATAAATTTAACAGTCATTCATTTGTGCATTCAACATTTATTGAACACCTGCTCTGTGCCAGGAACTCTGTTAGCTATTAGGGGTTAGAGCGGGGAACAAGATATAGTTCCTACTCTATGGAGCTTACAAGCGAGTCAGAAATCTTGCCATTAAACAACTACAGAAAGAAATATGTCAACAATTGAGATAAATGTGGCACAATCAAATAAAAGGCTCTTGTTTACAGCTTTTGGTTTACTTACAAAACTATGGTTTCCTACAGAGGTCGTTTGGATTATGTAAATTTTGATTTGCCCTATAAAAGAAATTTCAATTAAAATTAAAAGATAGAGTCTCCTGGGCTTCCCTGGTGGTGCAGTGGTAGAGAGTCCGCCTGCCTATGCAGGGGACACGGGTTCGTGCCCCGGTCCGGGAAGATCCCACATGCCGTGGAGTGGCTGGGCCCGTGAGCCATGGCCGCTGAGCCTGCGCGTCCGGAGCCTGTGCTCGGCAACGGGAGAGGCCACAACAGTGAGAGGCCCGCGTACCGTTAAAAAAAAAAAAAAAAAAAAAAAGAGTCTCCTATAGATAAACTCAATTGTAATTTCGGATTGTATCTGTGTTGAATATAAAAATGACAAAGGCTTTTTTTTTTTTTAAAAGAAAATAGTGCTATTTATTCTAGAAATGCTTTTAACGGAGGCTGTTTCCAGGGGAATTCACTGCTTTAGGTTAACGGTTGGTGGCTTCATGTTCAGGCCTCAAACTCTGAAGTTCCATTGTTATCACTTAATTGACTTGGTTATATCTCATGTCAGCATTTCCAAGTGACCTTCCTTTTAAAAAATAAAAATTACCTGACATAGAAGCATTGTTGCAGCAATCCCACACTGTCTTCATGTATGGCTGGGCCTAGAATCTGCTTAGCTTATCTACCACTAGGGTACCTCCCATCATCCTTGCTTATAACATGAGACAGCTCCAGGTACATGCATGTTGAGGGAAAAGAGATGAAAAATGAAATCTATCTATTATCATGACTATTATTAAGATGACAACTAAATCCACTGATATCCACTTTATTCTAAGACAGGGAGTTAGTCTTAAATACCTTGCATATCACGATTAAATATTGTCAAGTTATGCTTATTTTAAAGCAGGATTATGTGCATCTTTTCCTTACAAGTGTCTCCGAAGGTTTAGTTGTGCTAGTTAACCAGATGGAAACTTATATCCTTTTTACTTGTACATGAGACAACAATAAGAACAAGTTGGGTTTCTTTAACTAATGAGTGGGATTTTATATAAAGTAGGTATGACGCCAAGATGCAACTCTGCTAGACTGAAGCAAATTAAGGCATCAAATGAGCGTTTCCCCTCCCCCTGCATTGTGGAAAAGTTTTAAAAGTCTTTTTGAAGTACTTTGATCAAGCTTTGAAATCATTTTAGTGGATGACTATTGTATGAAAACTGTAATTTATAGTCCTTGACCTAAGCAGCTCTTTGTCTCACAGCCACATTCAAAACAATAGCAGGAAAGTGAAAAACACAAGGGGAACCCAAGCTGTTCTGGTTATTATTTAATTCATAATTCCATTTTCCTTAATCTTTCGAATCCAGGCATGTTCTTAATAAAACATCTTCAGACTGTTTTTACTATATATAGGAAGGTTAGTTTGGGGTAATACAATTAGATGGTCCGAACTTTTGTCACTGCGACCCTTCCTTAACCTGAGAGTGACTTACCAGGCAGGTCCAGAGAGGCACCTCTCTATAGTGGTGACAGTGCAGGCAAACTCCTATTGTTTGCCTTTTATTTCCTCTCTAGTTAAGGTGGCTTTGTTCCTTGACCCTAATTGAGAATGTGCCAATTGGGAGATTTTCTCCTCCTGTCCTATTCACAAAATAGTTATACTTTTGAGGCAACTTGCAGATCACATGGAAAATGGCAAGCTGCCCCCAACATGAACGAGCTAGGAGTGATTCTCTAACTAAATCACAGAGACATTTTACTATTTAAATTCGTAATTTTAATCAGCTGAACACCACCATTCAGCCTGAAAGTATCTGTAAACCTCACATGTTCTTTTGGCTCCTTTTGCCAAAACAGTTACTGACACACTAAACCTCAGACCATATTTGACCCTGTAATATCTTAGTTCCAAGTTTTATCACCTTCAGATGCCAAAGATGCTTAGGTGTGCTTTTCCCCAGAGAGCTTAGGTCAATTGTTCTCCCCCAACTTGGACTCCAAAAAATATATGGATCAGGACTCCGATGAGCTGCATTTTGGTCCTGGGATCATTTTCTAGAGAGAAAAAGAGACAAGGGGTAGTGAGAGAGTGCAGAACGTGTGTCCACGTGGAAGGAAACTGCAAAGGCAGGAGAAGGCGAGGACAGCTGGGAAGAGGCAGGAAGTGAGGGGAGTACAGCACATGGAAGATCTAATTCAACTGAAACTCCAGGTCCTAGGGCGGAACAGGTTAAAAAGAGCAGACATCTCAGCTATCTTGGTTCCAGAGAGGAAAGGAAACACTGGGTGTAGCTCCTCAGGGAGGGGTGAGTGAATTAACTGTTCACTTGGGGGCTGTGCATTAATTAGTGAGGCCCCCCCAGGGCCCATTTAGTGGATGACCTCATCCAGGGCTCTAAGCTGTCCCCTGGAGGCTTCAATGAGTGAATGCGCCCCCCCAAAGACGGACAGTTTATCATCTTCTTCCAGGGTGGAATCAAGCCTTGCCAATAATGAGCAGGTACACACGCTGATGCTTAAAAGAAAATGATTCCCTCTGGAGATCCAGCTTTCTGCTCTGCACCCCTGAGCCTCCCTTTAATATATGATTTTAGGAGTGTTCAGAAGAGTTGACATACACCTCGCCTGAAGCAAAAGAAAAAAAAAAAAGAATTCTCACTGTTTTTCGTTTGTTTTTTGGGTGGAAATGGGGTGGGGTCTATGAAGTCACCTGAAATATCGGAGCTGGATCAGCTTTGTTCTGAGCTCATGCCTCTGCATGCTTCGAACAAATAGGGTCTCTTGTTTGTGAGAGCAGACACTGGGCAAGTCTATATATGCAGAGAGAACATCATTTAGTTTGACGTTTGTGCATATACTCCTGCTTTCTGACTTGGCATAATTTATTAACACAGTTTGCAGAAAGCTCCATAACACAAGATTTGACTTTAATGTTAATGTTCTAACGATGAGAGCAAAAAAAAAAAAAAAAAAAGTTGTCACCCCATGTATACCCTCTAGGGCTGATGTTTAAATTTAAATTTAAACTGTCTAAATTTAAAAAACAAGTAAACAAACAACACGTACAGATAGACCACAGATAAGTATTCCTTACATAAAAGAGGAACAAGGAGGATTTCAGCTCCCAGTCTGGGAACGCTAGGCCCCTCACCACACTCTTCCAACTGAAAAATAGTAGACGTTATAATCACATTAGTTTTTATGTTGAATAAAGCTTAGTTTTAAATAACTTGTAACTTTATCATAGTATGTACAGTCTACTGCTGTTTCCTTCCCCACTTTCCAGGGCCAGATTTTAAAACCCCATTCATAAAGAGGAGGTGGTGCCCTTGCCAGAGAACACCGGTACCTTCTCCTAACACATTATGTCAGGGCACCAGGTAGAAGAGCAAATTCTGAAATGCAAGCACCTCTTTCATTTTTTAAATTTATTTGTGCACCTTCATCATAAATTTGTTTAATATAAAACAAATCCTTGACGAAGGTTTAACAGGGTTTTCAACATCTGTGCAGATAAATGTAATTTATTCCTAAAGAAGAAAAAGCAGTTTAGAGCATGCCATGAAAACTGCTTTTAACAACATTTTAGTCTAAAATGTGTGTGTGTGTGTGAGTGTGTATCAAGACAACAGCAGTGGTTCCAAATCATTCTATTTTACTCATGAAACCTGCATGGTGAATTTTACACTGAAACAGAAGTTTGCCTGATGCCGCCTTACTGTTTCATCTTCTTCCTCTTTCTTTTTTGTTTAATGCAACTTGCAACAGAGCTAAAATCCATGCTTGAACCTGATATGTTTGTGTCCTTCAAAAGGAAAGGCAGTAGGCAGATTTCTGCAAATCTTCTTAGGTACAAAATGAACAAAGTACAAATGGTATATTTAGTCTTTTGAAAGAACCAAGCAATGTATATAACTTGAAGGTGTTTGTAAAAGTTACATTTTTACTAATATTTCCAAACTCATTCAACATTATAAAGAATATTATGTTTTGTCAACATGAGGGCAAATATTTTACTAAGTACATTTTTGGGTATGGATTAATTTTTCACCTTCCTAAAAGATAGGTTTATAATGAATTTACTGATGTTTTCCTTTAGATTGAAATTTGGTTTGCAGTAGAAAAAGTGAATAAATGAAAGTGAACAAATACAAAACTTCTTTTGCTTACTTGAAAATTGCTCTAGGTTTATTTTTGGTACACTTAATTCATTCAAAGCCGAACAATCCTAATGCCTAAATTATTTGAGTGTTATATAATTATGCGGTATAAAATGCAGATACAAAGCAGAGTACAGAATGCGCTTTTGAAAAATTTTACTCATAAAAATACTGACTACCATACATACTGACAACTAGTTACGTTTAAAAATAAACTCTTGTCAAGGCTGGCACCCAGCTTCAGTCGTCTGCCCTCAGCCCCCAGTCCAAAGAAGGAGTGTGGTTTCCAGACACAACGTAACTAATGCTTTTAAATGAGATAAATGGAAAATGTTTGGTGCTCAAATAAATATTATAGAAAGAGGAAATTCTCATCAAGTATATTTTTTTCAGCTTGGCTTACTGCCATAGAAGTCAGGAAACCATAGACTGGACAAAACAAACGCAGGCTCCCAGCAAGGTCTGCCCTTGCAGGTGAGAGCGAAAATCTAGTTGCAGCCTTCATGATTTCGGCTTTGCTGGGACTGTGCTAGGTTATTCCATGACAGTAACGCAACCCTGGGTATCTGTGAGTGTACATGAAGAGAAAGGGGGAGGGAGAGAGAATGAATGGAGGCTTACCAAAAAAAAAAAAAAAAAAAAAAAGAGGGCGATTCAGTAACTGGGAGGAAAATTGAAAAATCACACCTTTCAGTCTCCACATTTTTTCTTTTGTTCAGTATATAAGGAGAAGCCATCCGGAAGGAAGAAAGATTATGACTATCTATAAACTAACTGTTTGACAGAGACAGAAATGCTGATAATGAGTGGGCTGTGTCTGTAGTTCTTGGCTGTTCACATGAGCAAGGGGTGAAGGAAAACAGAAACTCTTGATATGTTTGTCTAAAGAGGTAGTGGTGTGACCACGGGCAGCGAGAGTTCAGCTGAAGTTCAGGGCAGATGGTGCCAGGAGTTTACACTGCAGGAAAGTAAAATTGCTTCCGGATTCATCTTTTCCTCCTAGCTTCTCTTCCAGGATCATCAGGGTCAAGCAATGCTATGGCATAAGGTGACGATGTTGGTGGGGAAACAGGCTTGGAGCAGGATGCCCCTTTCCCGGTTACAGTCTAGCTCCTGGATAAATCCGTACCAGTAGATGACTAAGCCTGGCCCAAACCTGCAAAAACATGAGAAAATAACATGCACACATAGTATCAACATAGTTCCAGAAAAAGGTAATCTTCGAAGCATGGATAAGATGATTAAATGACTTTATTGTACAAAGTTTTTGTTTCGGTTGCTACGATTATGACTGAAAGTAGCTGAACTTACACCAAAGAGCTTATTTCATGCAAGTGTCACCGCCTTGGACGGATTTGTTACCTTTCTTTCAAGGAACCTGAACTATTTCACTGCTCTAATTACCTCTCAGTCAGGTGTTGTGACGACTTAGCTGATGAAGGACAAAAGCAGAGTAGAAACAGCATTGATTTGGGTAGCACCAGGCTTGGGATTTTAGCCTCTTGACATTTAGAGGCACTCTTTTAAAAGTTAAACCTACCTATTTTCAACTAAGGGAAAAAAAATATTTGGAAAATAATTTTTAAAAAATCAACAGCTCAAGGTCTTCTTCTGGCTATAATGCTCTATTCACGTACCAATAGGGCCAGAAGTTCCTTCTGTCATTCATTCTTTCTAGTCTTAAAAACAAAAAACAAACCCATATGACAACTGGGATCCTGCAAAGAGTTCTCTCGGCCCCTTCACTCTGCATTACAGCCTCTCTAAGCGTGAACATGGCATGAAATTTGGTCGTAGGTTCTCATCACGAAAGTAAGGAATAATGCCATGTAGAGTTCTGAAAAAGTCTAGACAGATGGAGGCTTGAAACCTCAATGTTTCTAAATTGTGCCTCCGAATTATCTCCAATTTGGTTAGCGGCTCACTCAGGAAGTAGCCAGCAGGAAGCTGAGACCTCTAGGCTGGGTTCATAACGATGTAATCACTATCAATCACTGTGCACACAGAGATGTTTTGCACATCAGTTTCACGTTTTTCCTACCGAGAGTACTTAATTAAAGGGCAGCTCTACTTTTGGTGTCATGTTGCAGGAATTTTACAGTGAAAGCATAAATTATGAACGTTGGGTTAGTAAAAGGATGTCTAAAAACAGAACTGCTTTCTGTATTCTGACATTACAGCAGGCTGAACCACGCTAGGCCAAAAAGCTTTTTCCTTCCATGATTTATTATATGCTGAAGTGTACTTGCCAAACCTAACAGTACAGGATGGGCTGCAAGATACTGTATGCACAGAAACAAGTTCAGTTGGATGTCATGGAATAGTTTATTTGCCAAGCTGTACACGAGATTAATTAAAACTTTTGTATTCCCTCCATGCAGGGATAGAATCATGAGATGTTGACTCATCAACTGAACTTGTTCTAGGGGACACAGGAGCTGTATAGGATGAGAAGACTTGGAGCACCAGGCGCTGTGACATTTACCTGAATTCAGGGCTGATTGCAAATGCTTTTGTTTCTCAGTATCTCTGGGGAGAGTTTCCTTTGTGGTCAGAAGAAACAGGCACCTAGGGCACGAGGTATTTGGGGCCCCAGTGCTTAAATGTACACCAGGTGAAGCTCACACCTGGATGAGGTCTTGCTTCCATTTAAACCAAGGGTTTCTTAGTAACTTTTAATCACAAACAATTGTCTGCAATGGATACCATTTGGTATCTTGATTTTACAAAGAGCTCTATGACTAGTATCAAATGATCTCAGGTTTGTCAAAACAAGTCTGGCAAGAGCAAGAAGACCTGTGATTTGGAGGACAATGTCTGAGAAGCCTCAAACCTTCCCATCAGTGAAGCAGCCCTCGGTCACAGCCTCAAGAAATCTACTGTTAACCTCAACACATTCCCCTTATTACACAGCCATTCTTGAGGCCGTGGTGTTCTTTAGAAAGGCGCTCATATTTCTATGAAGGGAGGAAAAAAAAAAAGGTGATCTAACCAGTCATGGAAAAGAACAAAAGAATATATAGAGGTCATAAACAACAAGCCCAGTATTTTAAAGATTTAATAAAACAAATACACGTATCACCAGCCTGCGCTTTCCCTGAATCATAAGCCAAAGGACACGAAGCAAGAAGGCTCTTTACGAAAATGGCATTTTCTAGGCATGAAAGTCAGGCTGGGGAACACCTCAGTAACCAAGAAAGTGGACTTGTTTCACTTGTGAGGCAACGCATGAAATCAGCACCTGGAAAAGGTTTTGCAAGATTGTGAATCTAAACATTTCATGTAGTGGTTCACTTAGGAGGACTCTCTGAAGGTAGCAACACAGATCTATGAACTGTTTTTAGTATATATGAGAAATGACTCACAATAAGGCTCTACCCTCTATCTAAGTCATTGTTCCCTAGCTTTGGGGTGAAATTATATTTACTTGGGAAATACCAGCTCTCTCATATGACCCAAAAGCTCTGATTGACAATATGTGCTTAATTAATTAAAAACGAGGAAATATGACTCCCTTTGTAAATAAAGATTGGTAGACGGAGGCTTTCAAATTATGTAGTCTTTGAATGACAAAAATAATGAGGACTTTAGAGAGTTAAAAGTTTGGAAATTTAACGGGAGAACAAGACCTGGCCTTGTTCCCAATACCTTGAGTGCATTTCTGACGTTTCTCCAACAGCTGAGGATCCAGAGATTATCAGATGCTGGCAAATTAACCTTTCAGCAACTCGGCTGTTTATGAAGAGGCCGACCGCATTAGGCAACATTACATAATCCATTCCTCCATTATCGGAACCAGCAGAAGGCAACATGTAGGCTGATAATTCGAAAAATCAAGCAACCCATCTCTAGTATTTCCTTCTGAAAAGTTGTAAAACGGAGTAAACAAGACCTAGGAAATTTTTATGTTGGTCAAGTACAGGCTGATGAGCCTAGAGACGTCACCTTTTTGATGCCTACTTCCATTTATTGTGGCACTACTGGACAATAATGAGATCACTGGGAAGGCAAACGTAACCTTTGTGACCAATAAAAATCAGAGTCTATTCACAAATTTAAAAGAAAACAGAGTCCTTGGATCTGAGCAAATGTGCAAAGCAGAGGGTTGGTCTGCTACTGGGATTGCAGCCCTCCCTACCAGGCTGGAGACACTCAGTAATGGGATGTATATGGATATCTGAATTGACTGTGTAAACACATTTCAAGGTTGACTATAATTTGAAGGTTACTATACTCATGGTCAAGTAATAAGATCAAAGACTCCAAATGGATTTTAAAAACTCCTGTGGAGCAGAGCCTGGAATGTAAGTGACTCTTGAACAAGTAATTCTGCTTGCAAATAAAATACCACCAAATTAGTAACAATAACAAATACCTCTTGAAAAAATGGGAGGTGAAAGTCAAGAGCCATGACAGACCTTGAGGGTATGAAAGATAAAGCTCCTCATAAATAATGACAACCATATAAATGTGTTTGAAATGTGTTTCTCTGGTGTCCTTCCATTTTAGAGTATTTAGAGAAATTAAGCAGGAGGCTGTGGAATGAAAGCTGGGCACCCTTCTGTGGTCTTTGTGCACAGTTGTCTCCCAGAGATTACACGTTTCATCATTTGTCTGTTTGCTACGTTGTGACCCTTTTGAGGGCAACGGCCATGTTTTATTTACATTTGTGTCCTCTGGGGCTAGCACAGTACCTGGTACATGACAGATACCCTCAAGAACAAGATGGAGAACACAGAGTTAATAATAGGATCAGACAGCTTTGTTGCACTGGTTACTCAATCAGTGGTGGCCTAGAGATGGGCAAGATGGAAGGACTCGGCTATTGCCATGGTTTGGCATTTTTATTAGTGAGCAGGATAGCACCCTAATGGCATACTAACAGATTATAGTGCTAGTAATAATAACAGTTACAACCATGTTAATTATTAACACTTTCATCGCACTTACTATGTGACAGACACTGTTCTAGGCACTTTACACGTATCGATCCATTTAACTCTCAGGTCAGCCCCATGAGGGAGGGAGATACAATTACTGTCCCTATTTTACAAATGAAGAAACTGAGGCACAGAGAAATTAAGTATCTTGCCAAAGGTCTTGGCTAAAAAGTGGAGGAACATGTTTTGGAGCCCAGGAGTGGCTGGAGGGTCTGTAACTGTCTTGCCATGATGTAGTGTTCAGTCTACTAAATGTGGTAAAATGGTATTAGAATGGTATTTCTTTAACCAGAAAAAGAGGGGAAATGCCCTATGAACTGGTTAGACCACACGTAGAGTGTTGTGGAGGGTTCTGGTGTCATATTTTAAGGAGAATATCTCTAGTCTGGAAATGGTCCAGAGGAGAACTCTAGGATGTTTGAGGAAGCATTAGATTAACAAAGTATATGTGACCTGGAAATGAGAACTTAGGGTGGTGATGTGCTCATTCACCACCTATGGAGGTTTACACTGCTCATGGGAGAAGGAATTAGATTCCTATTGTAGCTCTTGAGCACAGACCTAGGGCAATGTTTAAAAGTAGCCAAGAATCAGATTTTGATTTAACATGAATAACAATCATTGAGTGAGGTTGGAAGTGGATCTTTCCTCAGTCAAGCCTTTGGATGAGACCGCAGACCCTGAGCCAATAACTTAAATGCTGAGAGAAGGTGAAGAAGAGGGCCCAACAAGCTATACCCATATTCCTGACCCACAGAAAAGGTGAGATAACAAATGTGTGCTATTTTAAGTCATGTAGTTTTGGGTGTTTTTTTTTAATATAGCAATAGATAACTAATAGATACACCTGCACTACAGACTTGCGTAGTCAAATACCATTCTTCACGTATGCAGTATGGAGAGTCCTGTTGGCTACAGATTGGCTTTTGTCAGTTACACTTGCACCTAGACTTTATAGCAGAAGGGATTACCGAATGAGATTATCAGTAAGTAGCAACTCTTCATCAAGGGGAAATCTCAGATACGAAGCAACTCTGTGTTTTTACACTAACAGAGCTTCCTGGCTCCTAACTTAGACTATATACCAATGCCCCTCCCTGCTGCATATCTAGGATGCTGGGGTTATCCAAAGAAATACAGAAATCATAAAATAAAATGAAGAATTCTGCATATTTTCTCAAGTTTTGTGGTTTTGGTGTTAGAGTTGGTTATTGGG